TCTGCTTGAGGCTACACCGTCACCTCCTGCTCCTGATCACATTCCTTGCTCTTGACGACCTCCACCGTTTGAATTTCTTGTACTTCACTGTCTCCCACTTTCTCTCGAAGCGGCATTGTCCTCTACTCAAAACTTTACTAGATACGAGGGTTTTTTACAACGTATCTGTAAACTAAATCCCTAAAATGGAAACTAACAACTGTTAAACTATAAAACTATCGGAAAGTTTTAATAGTCTTAAAGAGCTGATTATGAAGTCCACTCTCACTAGCGAATTCAGAACTAGTAACTCTTAAGGAGCATAAATCAGAAACTTCCTACTGTAAGGGAATATTGTTGTATTTTACCACTGTAGGTAGTCACCGACTTAACAACGTCGTACACAGCAGTTTATGGAACTTCACCTTCATTCAACCCTTCACTAACTACATTTGCCTCTCGTAGTTTATTCTCTGCACTCACCTTCAATGTACTTCAAGCGAATAATAACTCTAATCAGAATGTATTACAAAGATATCTTTACTTCTACTGTCAGGTAAGAGTGTCTAGACGAAGTAACAAGTCCAGCGAAGTATTTTTCTGTAAACTTCAAACAAACTAAAAAGAACTTCAAAAAATCTACCTTCTAGAATGGTACACCCAACTTAACTCTACTCCTCAATAGGGAGACTCAGAATGTTCTTTTACAGATGGAACATTCTCATTGTTTATTGTCATCCTGACTTCAGGTAAGGAAAATAACTAAGGTATAGTGGTCATTTGGTAAATAGCTATGGCATGGCATGAAGAATATATCTGAGAGATGGAAACAGGTTTGAAATTCTAACCCCGTCTTTTTGCAAAAAAATACAGCCAATACTACCACTTTCTTCTCGATCTACAGTCCCTCAACAATCTCCAAAACCTCTCTGTCTCCAAGCCCCCAGCGAGGTTCGCTGCAAGGGACCTGCGGCTTCCGCTCCCCACCACACGGCCTCAGGCGGGGTATCAAAATACGACTTTTCTGATATACAGGTCCTCCACCTTTTCAAACATACTTTCTTTCCGTCACCCTTTGACTTCGATAACTCCGTTAGCTCCGCCACCTCAAAATTGGTTCCAGTATGGAAGTGTACTTTTGACAGTGCTGTAGTTATTAGCACGAGGACGCTGGCTTCAAAAAATTTATTAGCATCCAAAGGGGCTCCATTATATGCTACTACTCCACAATGCCTTTGCAGGGTAGTTCAATAGAATATAACGGAGCAGTTACAAAGGCGTAAAACCTGTCATGATTTTTCACACCGGCTGTAGACTATGTCATCTAATTCACCATTGACGTGGTTATACTACCTACATCAACCTTCCTACAGTCAAGATAATTTGTGGACTACGCCGTACGTTGGGTTTGCTAGTCGTGGAAACCTTGGATGGAGTCCGTAACTGACTGTCAATCTAATGTGGAACAATACAGAAGATTGCCTGAGACGAAAGGACCTGCACAGTGAAATCTGAATGACATACACTGCTCTGCTAGTAAATTTCTCGTCAAATTACACTCCTCAGTTCCACAAGCGTGCGAATAGATTATCATGGAAAAATCTACTTACGTATGATAGGCTTTTTGAGCAAACCGAGGCCATCTCAATGAACACCGGTCGAACCCCCTGCCCGCTTGTCAATTTTGTATTTCTCATTCAAGTCCGCTGCTGACCAAACTGAATAATGGAAGAAGTAAGTGAATTGCTCACACCCGCCCGACACCACGAGTAAATGCAGAAATCAGGTTGTCGGCATCTGTATGCCTCTTGTGCTGCAATTTGCGAAATAGGAGACGACTCTAATTCGATCTCGTCATGTTTCTTGTATGGCCTACGCAGGACTTCATGCGCTTATTCCATCTTAAATATCTTGAACCTCTCACTTTCTCGTCTCTTCTTCACAAGACGATCGCTTGCTGCTCCAGCCTTTTCTTCAACGCTTCAACTTCCTTCCTTTCTTCGAACGAGAAATCGCATCACTCGCAAAATGTCCTCCGCTTTTGCTTCTACGACCAGTTGCCAACCTTGCACGAGCCACTTCCGTCCGAGATCCAAACACCAAAACAGCGCAGGAATACAATCACAGGTTGCAAATGACGTGATGGTATCCTCATTTAACCCTTCTGCACCATCACAATCGACCGATTGGGGAGCACCAGAGAACCATACCTACACGAATCAACAATTGCACGAGAAAATCGTGTAGGGTCTAGGGTTTGATCAAGTTGCAAGTATGTACAGAAAATTCCGACGGATTCCTCAGCTGATATGACATTTTTTACTCCTGGGGGCCAACGCGATGCTTCAGCTCGGGCTTCGGAGCCTCGCACTGTCTCCCACTTCGTACAGATCCTGTGAACTCTCTTGCTACTCACTTCGACTTCAGATCTTCAGAAAGCCTTAACACCATGATATGTCTCAATCTCGAGCTCTCATGCACCCGCGAGTTTACACCTGGTCGTCTCACTCTTCACGACGGGGAAAAATCCTCACAACATTGGCACATTCCACACAGGAAAAAACACAAACCTGAAACTACGACAATTATCGCAAAACGTCACGAAAACGAGTTCTTCGAGTGAAATAAACGAGAGATTCCCCATTGGAATTCCCGTCGGTCGATTACCCTACTGGCAACAAACCGTCACCGTCACAAATATGAGTCAAGCCTAACCCACTCCACACTCGGAGAATCCACGTCGACGCAAAGGGGAAAGTCGCTCTACGCTCTCAACGCTTCCAGGCTCGACTCGAAGAACTAACGTTCTTCGAGCCGTCCCCGACTATATACCCCTCGTAACCCGAATCCTATATCCACGTCTAAATATAGTAAGTGCCCAGACTGCGTGAGCCGACTCGAAATTACATGACAAGCGGAAGCAATCTGGATTGACAACACAACCGACATTTAGATCAATGACATCAACAAGGTTTCTTTTCTATCGATCATTGCACATTTCATCGATGACGAGTTCGCTCTGCATCACCTTGCATGCAGTCGGTTTCCTAGGCCGCACCATAGATCCGACATCATGGAAAATTAAGAGGAAGTTTTACAAAATTTTGGCATCAATAGCTATGATGAGATCAAGGTTGTCACCGGCTGAGGCTCAAATATACACTCTGCTGATGACATTTTTAGTCTTTATTATTGAATTTCTTGTTATGATCACATCATTGATACCATACTCATAACGGTTATTGCCAACAATACTCATATGGTCGAAGGTATGAAATCTGCTCCCTTCTATGAGTTTTACAATCTAGCCTTGAGTTGTTTGATATGATTGAGCAGGTCAAAGCTCTTGTGACATACGTCAAACAAGCAGATCTTCAAGATGAGATTGCAAATATCCTCAAGCAAAAAAATGCGACACGATGAGATTTTGCCCTCCGTTGCATGATTAGCATAGACGAGGCACTCGCGGAGTTGACCAAGACTTTACGTGCACGAGGTCGCGAATTGGTTTTCAAGGTCACCAAGATTGATCACGAGCATCTTAAGAAGTTCATCTCTTTTCTAGTGCCCTTTCAGGATGCCACTCTAGCTATGGAGGCGCTTACGGAGCCTATGCTAGATTACGTACTCTACTTTTGGCAAAATCTGCAAAACATTGCCACATTGTTACGGAGTATATTACCATCAAGGAGAAAGATGACACGATAACCACATTGAAGAAGTACACTCCAGCATTCATTGCCTTGAAGCCAAAAGTTGCCGAGCTGATCTAGCAGATATTTGTTTGGAGTGACATGTATGTCATTGCCGCCCTACTCAATCCTAAAACCAAGTTTCGTATCGACAAGTTGGGCATAGACTCCGCCGATACCGAACTTGGCAAACAAAAGATATGATCTTTAATCATATCTAGAAAAGATATGATTAAAGATCATATGATTCGTTTTGGCATCTGCAACAATAATGTGCGACCTCATGAAAAACAAGACAGTCGACGTGTCGCACGTGGTCTTGCCGAGTATAATTCTAAGAGCGATAGCGCCATAGAGGAAAAGCCTCCCGCTGATGACATGCAGCTTGATTTTGCTTTGATGATGGAGCTCAACAACTATATTAGTCACAAGTGAAGCGATGATGAAAGCACACTCTTATCTAAATACGGAAATTTATTTTGATGAAAGTCCAATCAAAACGAATTTCCTATACTTTCTCAACTAGCCCGCTATTTGTTGGCCATTCCAGCTTCTAGTTCGAAATCTGAGAATAACTTCTGAGACGCAAGGAACATGAGGAAACGAGCTGCATCATTCCAAGCTTGACGAGCTCATGTTCTGCGCTCAATGCTATTGTCCATGTTAGGGTTTATCCAAAGACCGAAAGCTAAATAGAAAACTGACGAACTTTTCCCATCTGTCCATGTTACGGTTCCACCAAATATGTTGACTTGGGGTATTTCGGGTTTCGGGTTTGTCTCTTCGACTATGGGAACCACAAGCGCAGAATCCCAGGACGGTTCCACCAAACATGGTGACTTCGGTGGAGTTCGGGTTTCGGGTTTGTCTCTTCGGGTATGGGTACCACAAGCGCAGAATCCCGGGACGTGGATTTAAGGACGGGGATCTGGTTCGGGTATGGTTCGGGTATGATATTTAGGTGTGATGCAGGTCTCCGGGTGAAATAAAGTTGGCTGATCTATACAAAGCTCACTCCGGATACAAAAGTATGCTTCTCTTCTGATCTTGGATTCGAATGGGAATCAGAACCATTGAATTTCTGGAACTATCACTCGTAGGATGTGACCTTGTTCACATCTAGAAAGTGACATACTAAAGCCAAACTTTTGATGTGATTGTAATTTCTCCTGCATATATCCTATTAGTTTACAAAGAATTCCATTGGATATGACATTCCTGGTTACTTGTTTACAATCGTATCCAGCAAAAATATTTTCAAATAGTAAATAAATGTGATTTTGGCTTCAGCACAGTGAGCGCAACGGCCAATCCAAAAATAATTTCGCCGAGTGTTACATTTCAAGTTGAATAATGGCGATCTAAATTGAAGCAAGTATATTGGATCAAAAAAATGAAGATGGTACACTGAACTTTGAAATGACACCGTAACTTGGATGCCTTTTTGCTCGATACCTCTATCTCACTACAATCCCGCGTGTAGCTAACAGAATCTCCTCAGCTACAATGGTACAGAAAACACATCGCCTTCTTTGAGATCTAGAAGCTTGCCCAAAGCTTTGACTGATGCATTGGAAAAAACTGGAACGGCCTCCCAGATATGAATATGCATAAAGTGGTGCAAAACGCTATCGTGCAGCAGGTGTCAAACACCACAGGTCCTAACTCATAATGGAGTTCGTACTACTCTAATGTCATAGAAAGACCTAAAAGGCAACTGGAAGCGAAGGAGTTCGAGAATCACTTTCTACTGCTGTGCCTTCCTCTGCTGTAGAGCTCGAACTCTCATGGGAAGTCCGTAGAGACGAATAAAACCAGCGGCGTCGGCTTGGTTATAGATCTTGCTACCCTCTTCGAATGAGGAGATGTCTTCCCTATAAAGACTGAAAGGACTGAGTCTGCTTGCCACGGTCACAGAGCCCTTGAAGAGCTTCAACCTCACGGTTCCCGTGGTGGTTTCAGATACCTTCTCCATGAATGCGTCCATGGACTCCCGCAAGGGATCGAACCACCTTCCGGCGTAGACCAACTCTGCATACTTCAGGGCCAAAGAATCCTTCACTTGCATTGTCTCACGGTCGAGAGTGAGAGACTCCAGTTCTCGGCAAGCAAGAGTCAGGATGGTGCCCCCAGGAGTTTCGTATACCCCTCGGCTCTTCATGCCTACCAGTCGGTTTTCAACCATGTCTACTCTACCAATCCCGTGTTTGCCTCCGAGCTTGTTGAGTTCCGCTAGAAGAGTAGCGGGTGATATCTTTTCAGTATCAAGAGACATTGGGTCTCCACTCTGAACCATCTTGAAACCTACTGGGTATCCCTTCTCAATTTCAATGTCGATGTATCTGCAAATCAGCATCAAACAATTGAGAATTTGACACCCACAGACGCACAATTTTACAGGTGAAGGTGAAGATAGACGACAAATAGGCCCTGCTTCTGTGAGCCGATGCAATTAGACCCAAGGAAAAGTAGAAAGAACTCAACAGTCAGTAGTGGCTGGCGAAAGCTCTCGGCCAAGTCCAATCTTGTTTGAGGACCTTAATCCTTCGCAAGTTGCTTCAACACTCGGGACGATTAAAGAAGCATTCAGACGGTAAGAATCCGCGACTGTAAACACTGTCACAGGTCACAGGGTTCACCTAAATTGCTAGACGTGAATGTTAGTTGCAAGAAGACTTACTCAGGCGTATCGGGTGCCTTCGTGGGGTCCGTAGTCATCACAAACATGTCCTCCTTTGGCTCATTAATAGGGTCCTCTAAAATATCACCCTGCAGGAAGAAAAAAAAGTATTACTGACCTCTTTCCTTCGAGCACTTCAATCAACTGAAGAAGATTATCGAAGTCCACAGCTTAAAGTGAGTCAAGACCAAAAGTTACTCTAATGTTTGTATATTAAGTGCCTGTTCATACCCAATTGACGCTGAATTATGTTCGCAACAATACCTCATGACTGAGATGCCATAGATTCCGATCTCGGCTGTAAATCGATTTCTTTGTTACAGGCACGGGGACATTGTGCTTCTTCGCGTAGTCGATGGCATCCTCACGGCCCTTGATATCCCACTCTCGCCATGGAGCAACGATGTTCAAAGTCGGATCCAGAGCGAAGAATGTCAGCTCGAACCTAACCTGCGCGCGATCAGTTTGGAGCGCTGTAAGACAAAGAGCGGAGGGTTTAAGGGTTTAGAGATCTTACTCGATGGTGAAGAGTTTGCCCTCGAGTAGTTATTGAAATATTTCCCAATCCATATGTATTCAGGGATCAATTGGGCAACTCCAGGCATTTGGAATAAATCACCCATTATAGGTATGGCTATGCTTTTGACAAGCTGTTGGTAAGGTAAACATTACCTGTTGGAAAAAACTGGGAACGTGTGTTGATGTAACAGTCATGTCCAGGTACAGATGATAACCTCTAAAAACCTAAACAAATACCTTGACTTGACAAACATGCGACAGAACGCGAGAAGAAGAGTGAAGTCCTTGCAGAAGGAAAAGTCTAAATCGAGGTATATAAAAGGAAAAAGGTCTCCTGCGTGAAACCTGAAGGTTACGCATACCTGGTCGTTTCCCTTGCCAGTGCAACCGTGGGATACAGCATCCGCTCCCACTTCTTTGGCATAATCAACCATGGCCTATCCAGTCAAACGGTTCATAAGTTTCAATCGGAAGGAGGAAATTGATTCGACGACTCGAAACAATCCTCAGCATCATCATCAGCTGAGTGATTTTACCTTAGCAATAATGGGGCGTGCCATTGAAGTTCCTAAAAGATACTTCCTTTCGTAGACTGCTCCAGCTCGTAAGCATGGGTAGATGAAGTCTTTCACAAACTCCTCTTTCAAGTCTGCAATTTTCAGGTCGGTCGCACCACTTGCTCTGGCCTTATCAAGAAGTCCATCGGTCTCCATATCACCCTGGTGAAATGAAAGCTAGTTTGTAAGAGAATGAAACCTCAAGTGAAGATTTTCACCGCAGAGTCGTGGAGTTAAAATGTACAGCTGTTAAGTGCAGTTAAGTTCTAAATCCAAATGTATACAATTTCACAAGCAGAAACAGATTCAAAAGTGTGCATGATAAGAACATACTTGCCCGACATCCGCTGTGAAGCAGTAAACTTCGCATCCATAGTTTTCTCTGCAGGTTCAACACTTGAGTTTTCAATACATTGTTCCGGAGGACTCAGCTCCTTAAGTATATGACATAATCTGTGATTTCAATCCTTGTATTCTTTGTCCTGGTCTCAAAATGAGATGTCTAGGACAATCTCTGAACCACCAGCAGATTGATTCGGAACTTGTCATCGAACCTTCTGACAGCCAGTAATCTATGAATGAAGAGTCTATTTACACGTGGTCTTAACACAGGATGACACACACTCCAGAACATCTCTACGCTGCTAGCGCAGCTCCAGGTTGGATATTTAACTGTATGAAGATCGCCACCATGCACACTTCCCAGTCTCACATACAGACTAGAGGCAATTAGCTATCTACCCGTTCGTTGAGACGCACGTTTCTATACACTGGAGGAGACAGCCATTGTGATGGTCCTCCTCAGATAGTTAGAAACCATCAAAGCAGCCGCATTATTTCTCATATCGTACAAATCAGAAAGTGAACGAGATTACACTTCTCAACAAAAGCTCCGTCTCAGCGCTGCACAAGGGACACAGATTTGAAACCGACCTCAACCACGGAACGATGACAGAAGTGTCCAATCCACCGCTGTAAGCAAGCACAACCTTCCCCAATTTCCCACGAAGTCCTCCCTCAGACTTCGCTCCGGCAGACACCTTAACCTCATTATCTGCAAGAACGGCTCTAACTCCTGCACGTTGACACAAACCTTGAATACATGAGAAATTCGAGTCACTTCAGCAATGCTGAGTCGCAGCATTTGTTTAGCTCATGTTCGCAGATCTCTGAAATTACTGGACACCTAAATCAACAAAAACCAACAACTGTTCCCAATTCAGATCCTACCTGTTCTCGCTGATCGCCTGAATTGTTGTTGCTGACACAAATGCACGCAAGGAAAACCCGTCGAGGGCACTCTGACGGCAGAAGCACATTTCCTCAATCCTTCATACTCCGTCGCCGCAGGTGCACGCACACTACCCGCGGAAATCTGTAAGCTCGAAACACTGGCAGCCATGGTAGCCAAGGCAGCCGAATTTCCACCTGAAACCAACTCAAGTTTCGAAGCAGCGGCAATCATAAAATGCTTGCTTCTCCTGCTGGGATCCCAAACTTTCTCGCCAATGCCAGACCCGTCTCTGTCCAAACCCTGCCTCCGGCCCGGGGGGGTGCGAGAGTCCTGTACTACACCTGTTGTGGTTCCTTTCGCACCACGGACCCGGTCGACGAGGTTAGGTTTCAGCGGTTTTGGGTTTTGGTCACATTGATAGGAACGTAGTCGGGGGACTTGGGGAAAAAGGTTTTGGAAAATGGTACAAAGGTCGGCCCTATTCGTGGTCAGGTGAACTTGCAGACGTTCACAACTGTACGAGCACGGCGCTGGAGGCCAACGACAGGGTTTGGAGAAGCTGGTGCATGTCGTCGTCTCTTTCGCCATGCAATTCTTTTCTGTCGTTTTCTGCATGTAAAGTTCGTTTTTACCGATAAATCCCTATGAGTTCAGTCCCACATGTATTTTGATCAGTACACTGCAATCGAGTCTCCGTACTATAAAAGTATGTGGTGACTTTGCATACAGAACAAAATATCCTGCAGATATTACAAACATGATATTTCGAGATCGAGCTCTATAAATTATTGATAAGTTGTTAAATTTGATTTCAAAGCGTATCATCAGGGCTCATACTTATATTATGTGCCATTGTAAACCATGTTAAACAATTAAAAGTCAAAAACATGAAGAAGATCTAAGCAAAATGAAACATGCAGAAACAAGATGGAGTGTTTTTATCTAATAAAACTCATAGATACATTTATAGTGCTAAGGGTTTATATATTATGCGGCTACCTCGATAAATGATTTTTTTCTATCCACTAGGCCTTTTTTTATGAATAAAATGATCAAGTGGATAAGTAAAAAATGAGTAAATTTGTTATAATACATAATATTACTCTTATTGGAACAAAGTTGAGATTGAGCGGTAAGAAATTTATTATAATACATAATATTATTCTTATTAGAATAAAGTTGAGATTGAACGGAATGAAGCGCTAATTTTTTATTACTTGAAAATATATAGAACATACAATTTAATACTACATATAATATAAATTTGTAGTATAACTTGGAAGTACAAGCTACATTCAACTCTAGTTACAATAAATATACATAGCATCCACACTATTTATAATTTTTCTCCCTAATTTATATTCCCTAACACTAATTACATTGCAGTGTCAAGGTTCAAATGAACTTCAACGCATTGTCATGAATTGAGAACTTTGAGTGAGTTGGAAGAGCAGACTTTGAGTGAGTACAGATTTTGATTACGCGTCACTTTGGAAGAGGCAAGAATAGGAGATGGCCTTTTGACTCGCCTATTGATATGAAGACTTCTTTTGTTGGTGTGATTAATATAAGCTTTTTATCGGATGTACATATGAGTGATGGGAAGAAGGTATTTCATAAAGAACTTAGAAAACAAAAAAAATATTTATGCAAGTGTGGTTTGATAAAAGTTGATGAGTACCTAGAAGTTGTGATTGAGGAAGAAGTCTACCACCTACTTTTGAAGAGATTGTCGAAGATATTTGCAGTGTTAAAGTAGAATTAGAAGTAGACAGAGCCACATTTATGTTAGCATATGCATATGTTAGCGCTTTGCACAAGTGCATATTAATTATAATACTGTAGATAAGAGGATTAAACCTGTTGCTGTACAGTTGACACCGGAGACAAGAGAGATTCTGAAGAAAGCAAAGGGGGAGCCAAGTCTTAGAGAACCATATGAGATTGGACATAAGTTTACGGAGGAGCCAATCAAGAAGCTACATATTGGAGGTGATGATTCTTGATCAAGGTGGAGAAGAAAGCTTTCAAGGAGATGATTGCCAAGCATGTAAAGACATTTTCATTTTCAATCGATGTGATTGGATGTGTTGATCTGCGAGAAGTTACGCCTATGGTTATATAAACTGTTCCTAATGTGACTTGGGAGGTTAAACCAATTCATGTGCCTCGTGCTTTGATGCTTAAGTTAATAAAATTGTTGAAGGAAAAGTTAGAAGGAGTATGTTAGAAAGTTCAAATGCTCCATATTCTAATAGATGATTTATTATTAAGAAGAAAAACAAAAAGTTTCGTTTTATTCAAGATATGCAACCATGTACAATAAGGAATGTGTGCACTGGACCTATAGTAGATGACTTTGCAGAAGAGTTTGCTGGTAGTACTATTTATTCTGTTGGTGATCTCTATTCAGGCTATGATTAATTTCAATTGGCGCTAGATAACAAGGATATCACGGCAATGAGAACGTCGTTAGGGTTAGTAAGGATGTGCACGCTTCCAATGGATGTAAAAAAGTCAACAACTCATATGCAGAATGCTATGAATAGGATTTTGCAAGAGTTTATTACTTTTAAAACTAGGCCGTTTTTAGATGATGTTCCTATAAAAGGAACTCATATGCAGAATGCTATGAATAGGATTTTGCAAGAGTTTATTACTTTTAAAACTAGGCCGTTTTTAGATGATGTTCCTATAAAAGGAACTCATATGCAGAATGCTATGAATAGGATTTTGCAAGAGTTTATTCCTTTCAAAACTAGGCCGTTTTTTGATGATGTTCCTATAAAAGGAACTCATATGCAGAATGACATGAATAGGATTTTGCAAAAGTTCATTACTTATAAAACTATGCCGTTTTTAGATGACGTTCCTTTAAAAGGATGTTAGATCAATTTTGTTAACTCATTATATTATTATCTACCTTTTTTGGCAGGCAAAAAATAAATTTGAAATTCACCTTGGTGAGACTACATCCACTAGAACACAAGTAACTTTACTTATGAAAAATCCTAAGACTTCAATTAGCTCTCAAACATATTTACAAACCAATTAATATCACTAGCAAGACTTAAGTTATCCAAAGAACTAAGTTAACTCTTGAAAAAAATTGCATCTATGATGAAAATAAGCTAAAGTAAGAATCTCAAATAATAAATTATGTAAACTATGAAAAAAAAAATTAACTTAAAAAATAAATTATTGTTATAATTTAATAGAGTATCACATCATTTAATATTGAATCAAATTTTTTATATTATATATAAAATTTCTATTCTTGATCATCTAATTAGTCTAGTTGATATTGAACATATTTATCATTGTAATTTAATTGGGATATGTACTGTAACTATTTATTTTATTTCATTTTTATGTGGATTGAAACACAAAATAAGCTTGTATTAGTTATGGAACTTTATGCTACGACTATGAGTGAAACTATCATATTAAAATTTCTTGAGTATAGAAATTGTTTCATATACTCTATTTAGTCTATGAAGTAGAAATTGTAAGCTTTTAGATTAAATAAATATTTTGATATGTCATCATCGATGATAATTTAGATTTGATTATCAAAAATTATACACAGCTTTAAAACATAATCTCATAAATTCAATTTAAAAATCAATTTTATTTTGAATTTTGATGTGCTTAGTTTAAGATTTCTAGCTCTATAAATAAATTTTATATGTAGTTTTGAAAACTAAACTTAGAATTTATAGAGCAAGGATTATACTACAAACATACTAAGTTGATAATTCTAGTATATTTGAAACATAATGAGAAAATTGATCAAAAGAGAAAAGAAATTACGTTCGAAGTCTAAAGATAGAAGAAACTCACCTCAAACATTAAATTTGGAATCTCAAATATATTATTTTTAGTGAGAAAATTTGGCAAATTTCTAGATCAGATGAATGCATTTGGTGGTGTGCAGTTTCAAGTAGCTTCTTGGTTGCATCAAGAGGTTCATATTAGATTTTTTATAGTTTTTGGTTTCAATTATAAAATGTTAGTTGTATAATGAAGAAGATGGTAATCTAGTAATGACAATATAATTCGGTGAAATTATCAGTAGAAAGAAAAATTCGAAAGTAAATTGTCAACTTGGTATATGCAATATAATTATGTGTAAAAATATGAATTTAACTTGTAATGGTATTGGTGATATTTGGTAATAACTTGTACTTTGCTGTTATTAATACTCCATTTTTTCAAATTGGTATTCTGTTGTGTAACCTGATAAATCAATTATTACAGTCTTCTTTTTTCTATCTCATGTTTTTCTTCATTTGCTCGAGGGAGTTGTATTTCCGTATTGTGATAGGGAATTTCTCTCATTTCATGATTACTTTTATGATGATAGATAAATGTTGTGTATTTTCTTTTCCTTATTTATGTTTTTTTCCCTCTAGATGATGGAAGTAATTTCTAGATTTTTAATTTTTTACAAAACTGCTGTTGCTAATATTTTGAAATGTGTGTACGCATAGTCATATATAGTATAATTTCAAAGACAGGAAATAACGCTAAGAAGTAAAACAGTCAATAAGAAATATTCATCCTCCATCCATATTCTTCCACCATATACATGAAGCATTACTTTTTCACATTATCCCACCTTGAATGTGACAATCAGGACGAACAAAAAAATCCCTTCCTTATAAACATTGCTACCGAGGTATGCACATTACTGACACTTGCTAATTTTATATAGCACATAGATTCAGTTACGAAGAGTATCAAAGCAACGGTGAAATGTAAAATCATTCAATACGGATCACAGTCCCTTCATTGCATAGGCTGTTGTGGTCAAATTTGATTTAAATAGGGGCCGGCCAACATCCGACTAACGGTGATAATTTCCATGATATTATTACAAAGCAATGTAACATACCTGCACAAAATTGATGGCATCTTCCAACCTCATCTAAAAGCTAAAAGCTCAGATTTTACAACCTTCCATGTAAAACCTATTGTTAACTATTGTCTTATCTACAACGATTCATATAAGTAAGTGACTACAGGTTTACATCTGAGGTCTCGTTTGAACTACATACAATTCTCCATCTTTGATGACACCTTCAATATCCTGAGGTGTACCATAAAGCTCTTCAATAGCAAGGCCGGCGGCTGCTATCTTTGCAAGCATAGATGACCGAAACTTTTCGTCCAATATGAGAGCATCGGTCGAGTAATCGACCACTCTTTCGTCTTCCGTATCCATAGGCACACTGCAATATTCAAAATCATATATTGTGTTTCCAAAAAATGCCAGTGGTCAGTACGATAAAAACATCTTTCCACAAATAGGTGAATTATATTGCAAATCCAAACCGGCACTAAATACGATTGATACACTGTGACTCGTCATTAATAGATAGACACAATCGAAAAACCTCATTTTCTTTGTAACGTAAGGACTTTCAGCTTACCTGTCATAGAGGCCTGCACCCGCATAACCTTCCAAGTCTTCACCGTTCGAATCAGATCTGAAGATGATAGATTGTTTGATGAAGAGTCCAACCCTTTTACTTGGAAAACCAATAATCTGTTCCCAGTGACAGCAAAGTGTAAGTACCACATCGTGGGTTCTATTTCTCTAGAATAGGATAATGATGATTAATAGATTCATGAACGTACCTGAGGTGATTGTACATTTGATTTCTTGGCAACGAAACTCAACGCTCGCCCCGAGTACGCACCCACGAGGGTTTCTCCCAAACCTTTCACCACCTGTTCACGTTCCAAAAGTCACAACACGACAAAAATGCCTATTTAGATTATCTCGAAATAGAGTTAGAGCGTACTATCTCGGCGGCTGTAAGCCAAAGAGGATCAGCTGCATAATGCAGCGTAGAAAAGTGATTTCCAATCGTCTTCCCTATGAGTAGTAGGTTTAAACTGACAATGGAGAAAGGTTATAAGCATGCACTTTCCCTACCTCCGCGTATATTTCGGTTGAATCCTCGGTGGATGGATTCGTGGTGTGAATGACAAATGCATAATCTGCTTGGATAATCTCCTGGACAAGGACTGCCATAGAAAGATCATTATGATCTATCTTCACTTTCCGTGTGCTGAAGTAAGCTCTTTCATTCCACTTGGAACCCCAGACCTGGAGGCAGCACGAAGACATTTTGTCAGGCACAATCAGTAGAATCAACGATTGGTCAACTTTTAAATAACTACCGTATGAGGCAAATGTCACTACGATGCTTACATCTTTTTGCTCACATCGATTGTTCAAAACTTATATTCTTACCTTCTTGATGGCTGTCCACGCTTGTTCCCATCTCTCCTTGCTCTCACTACCCGGCCAGGGCATATTAGAACCTTCAAGTGTCTTCTTCAATTCCTCAACCTGTACACGATCGTTGGTTCAACATTCCATATTAGCCACAAGAACACGAACAAGAAGAAACCGATGTTTTTTTCCCCCTGCATCGATACTACAGTCAAATTGAAATTACTCCCCTCTCATGTCGTCAGCGTCACATTAGAACGCATTCACTTTACAGACAATATCCACGCGCAGCCTTCTAGTGCGTGAGCGTCACTGTAATTTGCCTTTCACGAATACCCATACGAGCTGGAACTTCCACACTGTTGGATCGAATAGGTTTGAAAGTTTCTGTCATAGGTCTGAAGCGTTTACCAAGGCGGGAGGGGCTTGCAGCCGCAATACTGTCTCTCGTACATCCTTGAGTTTGTGAAAATCGCCCGCGTCAATTTCCTTGGTCAAGATCGCGATGTCTTTCGCAACATCCTGCAATGAGTTCAAAGATTTGTTAACTAGAGTATTTTAAAAGTTTTTATGAAGAAGAATTTTAGTTATTGGCGTATTTTCCATCACATTTTTTCTCTTCCATATTGTTCTATAGGAAAAGCATATAAAGCTAGTACACGTATACAAAAAATAAAGTTGATACTTCTTTCATATTTTGTGTCTGAAGGTCGTCATTTAATTTCTTCTGCAGTGTTAGGTTTTGGTGGTATTTATCATGCACTTATTGGACAAGAAACTTTAGAAGAATCTTTCCCGGTTTTTGGTTACGTTTGGAAAGACAAAACTTATACACGGAGGTCTTTGAAGTTAAAAATTCGTAAAATGCGAGGATTGAGGATAACTACCTGATTTATGCTTTCCGCTAGCACCTTCTCAAATGACCCAAAGGGTAGTGCCACAGACGTTGGAAGTTTGATCCATGATGGTAACTTTCCTCTCAAGTGAGCGATGTTGCGCGATTTTGCTCCAACCTGACGAAATATGTGAGACGGCTCAGTGAAGGCAAAGACATAAATTATCGTATTAAGTCAAGTCAGCTCGTCAAGTCTTCACAATAGCGGACCTTCAAAGTGGTGAATGAGGAACTCTCTTACCATATCAGGATTGAAGTCGTCTGCGGGAATAGCGTACTTTCCTATAAACTTCTTCTTGGTCAATGTTATTCTCGGAGGAGGAGCCGAATCCGAAGTTTGTGCACCGCCCGCACCACTCAGTTCAGACTCACTTATTTCACTAAATTTTGCAAACAATCCACAATGTCAGGTATTCACGTTTCCTAACGGACATTACAACTCCTGTACGCCAAACTAGTAAATTCCTTACGCGAATCGGCTGGTGTGCCACGCACTGTTATTATTTCTAGCTGACGAGCGTTAAACCTGGTAAAAGAAATAATTCAAAAAATTATATTTGAATTTGACAGTACTTAATTTTGCGTCTTCAGAATCATGATGAAGGTGTACACACACCTTCAATATAGTTGTCCAAAGTAACATCCTATTTTCTACTTTTGCAGCACATGTAGGTCATTATACTTAAGTACACAGAAGCTACTCTCCTTTTGGAAAGATGAAAGTGGTCAGTTACACGATTCGTATTGATGACCACTCCCGTCTTTCAATCAGGAAGTAAAGCTGTTAATTTCAAGAGACGTACCAGATCTTCTTCCAGTTTAAAAAACATTTCACAAACCTGTATTTCAAGTCGTTTAGAGTTGGCTCAACCCTCACAGCCTTGCCACTCAAAGACCGCAAATTTGCCAGAACCTCTGAATCGAAGCAAGTTGCAAAACATATCTGGAGGAAAAAACATTTGATGAATATCACAATCGCAGGAAGGATGACGTCAAATGTTTATGTCCATAGATATTTTGTACTAGTCTCCCACGTCTGTGGTGCAACCAAAGAAGGTATACTTGAGATATTACGAAAGCGGCAAAGGATAAAGACGTATATATATGAGATGTGTGGAAATTTGATATCCCAAGAATATTCAGACTGCATTCACTTCTGGATGTCCAAGATATCTTAATGCAAGCGACACATTTTAGAAGCATCAGATGTTGCAGAACTCAAGTCCAAGGCATTACTAGTCGGCTGGGATGTAAAACTTGGTAAGGAAACCATGCTCATATTCAAGAATGGACACTCATTTGTTTGTACAAAGAGTAATCTGTAGTGTAATTACCTTGCCGTTGCGAGCTCTTACGGAGACATGAGATAAAATATCAGGCATGTCAGGAGTCAGGACAGCTACAGCTCCATCCGGGATTTCTTCTTCTCCTCGAACTCTTCCCGCAACTAAAATTGTAGGTCGATCGTATACCTTATCTTCCACTTCCAATAGCTCATCCACAACTACAACAACACCCTTAGTCTCCACGGGACTGATAACCTGCCAACTGTTGAGGAGAGTACGGGTAAATAGACGATAAAGAATTAGAAAAATAAACAATGTAAAAATACACCTGAAGGCTGAGCACAACAATTCATCTCGAAATTTACAAATTCTTAATTCAGGCATATATCACATTTCAGAAAGGTCCAGGCATCACCTGCCCATATTGGCCTCCTTTCGAATCACCGGGTCAAGGCGGTTAAGAAGAAGAGACAGAGACGCTGCAGACCCAGATCTGATCATTTCTTCTGTGAAAATTTCCATCTGCAAGTTGTTGACCAAGGATTTCCAGAATGTCAGGAAAACCAATTCAAAATCCACTGAGAATTCCAGATAGTATACAACAAGCGAAACATTTGTGATATTTGTAAGCTGGGGAAGAATCAAGAACTTTGAAATGTTTAATATGTATGAAGATGAAGATGAATATGCCAACGAAGTACTTACAGCCCAATTTTCAACACCCAACAATGTTCCAAGGTACTCTGCTGTAGGTTGCAGCAGGTTCTGATAGTGTTCAGCCTTATCTTGTAAAGCAAGGCGAGTGCGATCAAGGACCGCTTTAGTTCTCAAGGCCCACATGGGGCTTTTAGATTTTATCAAGTCAATGACGACATACCAATCCTGTACGACAAACACTCAAACATGTCAACCATAGGAGGAAGGTGTCCAAGGCGAACCTCCAAGCAGCACACTTGCAAATCCCAAAGATACTGCTGTTTTCAGCTATCCTTGTTCCAAAGATCGACTCAACTGAAACCCTGTAAAAATCTTCAAAGCCCTTATCATTAGGTGACGCTAGGAATGACAGTATGTTGAAAAGTTGCACAATAAACAGACTAGAAGTATACAAATTGAATGGCATGTCCTACCTTTAGACAATAAACAAGTTCCTCGTTGTTGTTGCTGGATAGAGCAAGATTCTCAACCACAAGACTTACAATCGAAGCCAAATCCTGTATTGGCAAGAAGATCATGCATTAGTCATAGCGTAGGTCCCACAGCTTCAACGAGTGACACGTTCACTACCATCACTTCTTCAGATGTAACAAGCGTTGCCCCTACAAATTCATGCACGTTAAAAAAACAGGGTCTAACTGCTATAATATCTACTACAAATGGGAGAAAGGGCGAGTATACGTACAGCCGGCCCACTGTTTCCAAGACTTTCAAGCCCTCTTTCGACCGCTGTACGAAGAGAAGAATCAAGTGCCAAGTCAAGGAATATAATGTCCCGAAGACGGTCATGCTTAGACAACAGATTTGCCCTTAGTTCCCGGCGTGCTTCCAGCAATCCCTGCATAGATTTCATACATCAGTACCGCATTATGAAAAAGCGAGAACGCTAAAATAAGAGTACAATACAAGCCGACCATATACTACAGATCAGGAAATGACCCACCTCCAATAGCGGGACAACCTCGTGGTCCTCAATGTGCTCCAGGACAAACCTCAACAAGCCCTTCAAGTAATGAATTGAAATGTCAGGATTGCAGAAATGTCTCCAGTTAATTCATAACAGAAGCAGAAAAGAGAAGATTTGAAGATTTGTGTCAATTCCTCACTAAAGAGGAGGCGCCTCAAAAATTATGTTCGACTTCACCTGCCCTCGCAGTGAGTTAACGTTTAATTATACCATGCAAATTTCTAAAACAAAACTCACATATCGCTTTTAGAGATAATGCTTACCGGCAAATCTCCTGACAGTCCACTGATAGGATGAATATTGACACCCCCCATAAAGCCTTGTCCCTGAAGTCAGACATGAACCTTGGCATGAACATCCTCAATTAATGACAACAACTTCAGCTTTACACTGAACTAGCTGTGGATACACATCATTTGTACTGACAAAACAATCTCTCCTCCGTCGTGCAATTACCTCAGCAGAATAACCCATACATATGGCAACCGCAGATTCAAGGTCCGCTCCCGAATGTACTGCCTGCGTTAGCACGACAAAATCGATAAAATTAATCTTGATAGGATCAATGTACTCATAAATACAAACGTCATTTCTCCCCATAAATTCAGTACACTTCAGTAAAACAGAGTTCTTTTGATTCAAGACCTTGAACTTTTAAGCCTGGAGCAGTTATGGAAGATTGGAACTGTGAACGTTTGAAACATACGAAGTCCACAACATTTTGAGACCATTTATTCTCTAATAGTATCAGTGCACTATACAGTTCAAAAGTTGTTCCATGTTAAGATCATACCTTCAACGTGCGCATATAAGCAGTGAGATCCCTAATCAAGCCGTCCCTCTGGTCATGCCTGAGATTAGGTTCAGACACTATGGGCCGATCATAACTTCTCATCCTCTCCTTGGTTACACCATTGTCATTCAAAGTTTTCCAGTATACATTCATATCAAAACCGCTTTGGATATGATCGAGAAGAGCCTGCAATACCACATGCAATCAGCGAAAGCAGTTTTGCTTAAAGGGCGATTGGTTGAGAGACAAGTTTTCGACTCTAGAGAGTCCTTAAATGAATGACTTGGAAAAACACTGGGGCCATTTCCCGACACACAAAACTCACCTGGCAAATAACGACATCATCAGGACTTGTGTTATTGTGGAGCTTTTGGTGCCATTCCTCCATCATTCCTCCTTTGCAATCATTGTTGCGCTGCATCGACGAAAGGTCACAGATAAATTTGCTGGAAGATTACGAATATACTCAACGGTATTCATGCAGGGGCTTTCCACTCCGGTTCCTACCACTTGTGCAACACATATATGAAGCACAAAAGATTAAGAACTTAAGGTCTTTTCAACAATAACGGGTACAGAGATATGGAAGAAGATATTCCTTACCTGAATAACCAAAATCTCGTCTCGAATTCGTTGACCAACATCACCCTGCCCACCTCTTCCAACGGTTGACATGATAAGCCTCACCACTTCGCGATTTTGAGGCTGATCGCGGTAGATCGCTTGCAGCAAATCTGTCAACTTCTCCTGGGCTGCGCTGATTTCTCTGTTCAAAGACCAGTTTGTGAGGTTTCCCTTCAGTACCTCACAATTTGTGAGCGGTGAATGTTCGATGGGTGAACTATACTACTAGAAAGATAGCGTTGCCAGTGGTTCCTACACATCGGGAGGGGGGCTTAACGGATTCTTCTAACTAAAGTTCCTACAAAGCTAATCATAAACTCGCATAAGCCATGTAATACCCTCTGTCGGTACTCAAAGGAAAATACACAAATTGTTGCACTGGCCACTTTTGATAAATAGGAACTATCTGGATTAAAGCAACTCCCACCTTGGCTTCACGTTGTAATTCTTGTTCCATATTAACTGTCTAGTCGCCATGTAACGCAGCCACACTAAAATACCAGCCAGTGCCAACTCTCCCTCCTCCTTGGCTTGTGATGCTAATCCAACCGCGATGTTGTAGCTGAAACACAAACGGCATTCATTTCAGTCGGAACTTTAAGCAAATTAGAGACAGAAGCAGATGAATGCTCTGGTGCAATTGACAAGCGTAGAAGTTTTGAAGAGCAGAAGTTACCGATGCATTAATGATCGCTGAGCTTCGCTTTCTTGGTTAGCTATTTCCTCCAAGAAGGCTCTGGCTGTACCAGCACCGTCTCCAAGCGCCTAAAATGCAACAGGAAATTCTCGTCATTTGCATCTTCACAATAGGACGAATCCTCTTTCGATGTTTCTCTTTAGTTCTGTAGTAACCCACGTGCGGGAACTACCAATCACAGTAATATCAACTACAACTAGAAATCAAACCGCAATCTAAGCGAGAAAAGATTAATAATCACCTTCAATTTCTTCTTTTCCACTGGTTTTAAAGATACGTAATAATCACCCCCATTGTCCTTATACCAGTTACCTCCACATTTGAGGACAAAAGGCATTCCGATGTAACCAGCATCTCCCACCACAATTTCAAGAGACTACATTGCACAACCAGAGAAACAAATACATAATTTTGTCAGTCAAAGTGTGGAGGAATAACTTTGTCGCACACTCCAAACAGTTTCAAACTTTAATCTATCGAAAGCTCTGCAGCACAGAAATGCTTGACGAAAACTTCCGAACATCTCGCCAGTGTGAAAAGTACGAGCCAGCCATAATAATGAACCTACTTAGAACAATTCAAGGAAATGAAAACCAACCTGAAGACTTTCGTCTCCTGCGAAACCTTTCTTCAGAGGAGTTTCACAAGAGCCTTCTAAAAGAGTAGAGTTCTCGGGCGCAACTGATTCGGGAGGAGCCTGAGATTACATCTTTCAGGAATGAGAAAAAAGTTCAACTGAACAAAACAGAATGCAATTCCGAGGAAAACATAGTACGCGGCGGTTTGAAAAAATGAGCAGTTAACATTACCTGCCATTCCCTGTTGTTAACCTTGGATAAACCCCAATGAATTGACACGGGCTCGGTCATGTCCGTTGCCATCCTAACACGAACCTCTCCTCCGGGGTTTGTCACGAGAACCTGGATATCCGATCATAACAAGGTCCTCTTAAAAAAAACTTTTACCCATGCAGTCTATCCATATTAAGAGAACACTATGTCCTTATATATTAAGACTTTGTAGATTAAGAAATTAAAACCGGGGAATGCTTCGTGTAAAGCATTCCTTACCAGAAGACTAGATCCTCCCAGCTTGAAAATTTTCTTGACAACGACAGCTCCACTGTCAACACCTTCCATGACCTCGGCTCCCATCTCAAGCGGAGTAGGCTCCCTTGGAGGTGCTGGTGCAGACGTTGCAGCAGTCCCGGTCTTGACTTCGTCGTATTTGTTCAGCAGTTCCATGGGATCCCTCCTCTTCCGAGAGACTCTGTGGCCATTGTAATTCTTTTGAGGTGCACTTTGAGTTGTTTTCTTCGAACTATGGTTGTCCTTGTTACCGCCCTCGTCCTTGCTTTCTCCACCAGCTCCGAATCGTCGGCGAATGTCCTCGATGGAGACTCCGCTCGCCACTTCGCGCTGCAAATCTTTCCGGGCTTCTGCGTACTCCCTCTGGAAAACGATCCAATAAAACTGTTCAGTTTTCTATTGCTCCTGACCAGAGTCGACAATGTAGTTCAGAAGTGAAGTTGCTACAGCAAGAGCAGGTGCACCTGCTCTTGCTATAGAACTACAGGACAGCTGCAGTTCTATAGCTGTGCGAGAACCGAACTAGAGGACAGCAGTACCTGCTCCTGCTCAGGTGAGTAGTTTTGTTTGCCATTTCTTTCCCAGCGTAAATATGCCTGAATTCCACACAGATCCTCTGGAACAGAGATGTTTGAAAAATCCACATCTGCTCTTGGCACGTCCACTCTAAAGTTTCCACCGCGATTCTTGAACCTGAACAAATTGAACGTCATTAGAGAGTGCTTCACGCAAATTTAGTCCAACAAAGTTCGTTTCGGGATCCACTTACGATTGCGACGAAGGCTGAGTCTGTCATATGTTTCGAAACACAAGGATGCAATGTGGGCTGGGTAAGTGCTTACCATCTATCTGTATTGTCCTCTTTTAGGAGAAACTCGATACCATTGAGATCAGCATCTGCTAGCTCAACTGTTAGGTAGGCTTTGTTCCCGTCCTGAAAATCAGATGGAATGTCAGCAACAACGGGTGTGCGGAACACGAAGATGCTCACAAGCGCATGCACAAAGATAATATGATCATATGATTGCAGGATTTCGTTATCATCCTGAGCAATGTTCCAGAACGACAGGAAACAGGATTAAGACCTAAAACCTCTGACATACTTAGCAGGCAGGATTAAGACCTAAAACCTCTGACATACTTAGCAGGCAACTACGAGAACTACACGAACTCTTGGCTACCGTGGTTGAGGGTAAAAACGATAAACCACCTTCAAAAATGGCGTTTGCAAGGCTTGGTTTTGAAAATCCCGAGTATCGGCCGGTCTTCTGGATGGGAGATACCACTTGCTGTTCGGCGTATGACAACGAAACCAAAGTATATGTTAGTAGCTCCTCTGCAAGATAGCTATGTCAAACTTGCGTTGGACTTGCGTCCAAGGCATAAAGCCAAATTATAAATTTCATGGTTCCCAAGATTTAGTGTACCTTTTTCCTGACTTTGTGGCCCCCCAGTGGAGGACAAGCTGGGACGCACTTGAGTTATACACCTCTAATTCAATTACGGCAGGCGATCCAGGTGATGCCCCTGATATCTTCACCTGATTCAAAGATAGAGAGCAGTCATCAGCAGAAGATTCAGATTTTTGAACGGAATGTTTATGGTCCAGGCTAAAATCAATGCTTGCAGCTCGAGACACCTGGAAAATCCATGCGATGAGAAGAGCCGCCTACCGGTCGCAGCATGAGCTATCTGGGATAAAAATGCAGAAACTGTAGACCTGGATGATGAATCTGGTAAAGTACGTGGACAATACCCGCATATCGAAAATGTGACAAGAAAACAACTTGATATTTACCTTTAAATGAGCGCCTCCATCGATTTGAAATTCGACCGTAGCCTGTATCATTCCAAAGACCAAAATCGCAGAATCCATATATTAATACAAATGAAGTAACCAATCAAGAAGCCCGCGTAAACAGGGCAAAAGCCTGCGATGGACTAAGCATATTTCGTGCTCTTGTCAACGAAGCCTCAATGGCTATCCCAAGATTCACGGGGAAAAACAGGATCTTAAGGCGACGCTAAACATCAGTTGGAGGATTCGTCTAATTCACTCAAGAAGCGGCGTCTGATGAGGATTTCAGCAAGCAGGAACTCCGCGTTTAAATAGGAGACATAAAGGGAGCTTGACAGAGTCCAGGAATTTTGGCATCTACGGCATACGTCAGCTGTTAGGTCTTTAAATACGTGTCGTCTTATCTGCAGCAGAAGATCCTGTGTAATAAAATCAGAAAAGCAGAGTTGAATCGATTGCAAAGCCAACTATTCGGGCGTATGAATAGGACCACAGCTTCAGAGGTTCAAATGGAAGGGATATTTCCTGCTCATCACTTGATACACCTGGCAGCACCTTGTGTAATCCACTAAGCGCATGCTAGAACGTACACTTAACTAGACCTTAATATTTCGTGGGTTTAAACCAATGTTTGTCCCAGTCTTCGGTCGGCAAGCTACTCATGGCGAGAACACGTTGCGAAAACTTCACACAGCGTGCAAGAATACGAATGGCATATAGTACAACCCTATGACTCAGTACGAAACCATCCTGGCCCAAATCTACTCACTATGTTAAGGATCGAATGCTGATTCTCGACATTCATTCGACAATCAGATTGATAAAGAATCGGAATCGAACCACCACTTTCGCTGCTTCGGCCATGACTTAAGATTTCATGTATCTGACTGTCCAACCATCTAGTTTCGAGCTACCTCGACTGTGTGTAGGCAGCCACACAACTGAAGAAAGTAAACGTTACCGTGGAAACAGCATCAACAGCCACCGCAGCGCGAGGGGTGGTATCTCCAGCTTTGCTCGCCTTCCTCCCATTTTCAACTCGGGATGATGTAAGCGACGACAGATTTCTAGAGAAAAAACTACTACTTTTCAATGACAATTTGGAGCAGCTCGCTTGAGAGACAGACAACGTTCGCGTGGTTGCGCATGTACAAGAGGGCAAATCCACCGCACCACCAGCCGCTAGGTGCTTTCTACCGTTCTTCTTCTCCAGAGAGTGACTGGCAATTGGACATACTACCAGAGGTTGGGCCTTCGCTAAAACTCCACAGCTCAGCATTTTGATTGTCGGTTCCTCTGTACACTCTCAGTCTGCTCTTCACAAAATTCAAACTCTGTCAACGACAACAAAATGCCGCTTCCGCAATACGAGATTCTCGTCACGAGTTCGCTCTCCACACCGCCGCTTCTCGAATCGAGAAGCGATCGATCGACTTTGTGGGGATGGACCTGGAAAATCCCCAAGAAACTCCAAAAGACGCACGGAATTGCTGAAAGATTGCGAGACTCTTTGCCCGCAAACAGCGTCCTATGGAACTTGGCCAACTGAACGCTTCAATCTCCCTCTGTATGTATACCCCGCGAGGCCCGCTTTTCCAGATTCCCCTTCTACCAAGGGGGGTTTCCAACCCTGGTTAGCATTTTACCCCACCGCCAAGCCCTGACCCCCATAACGTACGGATCGAAGGCGAAAAATCACTCCTGCGGCACTTTCATCCAATGCGAAAGCGTGTGGATATTTCACTCACTGTATTCCAATACGCGAGGAAGGCTTCCCGGCGGAAATGTTTGAGGCAAAACCCCGTGCGGGGCCCGCGGAGCTCAAGATTCTAACCTCTCCGTGGTTAGACATGGTCGCATCTGTCAAGCCTCAGGAACTTCGACAGGTGTTCAGTAAACATGCATTCGGACGGACACGTGGTGAATGGAATTCCCCTGATTGTCTTCACGTGGGACTGGGGGTAGAAGCTCGTCCGTGCACGGTTGACGTGTCGAGATATCTACGGTATACGTTGCTCTGCGGCTCTAATCCGTGGCATAGCGAACTGCTCAGGCACACGTGGCGAGTTGTAAACAAGGTCCCAGCGTTTGTCCGACTCAGCCCATTCCGGGCGAAATACGGGTTAATCGGACGCTCTGATTCAGTGGGCCCAGGACTCGCCTATGCCGAAGACTTATCGGCTCCGATCGCCCATAGGCCGGGCCTCGCTGTTCATCGCAGATTTTTCTCGACGGGTTTGCACTTCCACCGTTCTCTCGCTATGTACAGCTCTAAATCTTTCAGTAGGGCACTGTTTGGTAGGAAGGCCACTCTGGCTTCCGATCGTGAGATGGGCGGTGGAGATTCAAACACAAATCTAGTGATCGTGCAATCACAGGATGTAGGATGGGCATTCATGCATGAACGGGACAAAGCTCGGTCCTCACTGCATCATATTTTAGCGCAACAAAGCTATTCCCGTCTCGGTGGGGAGTGGGTAAAACTGCCGGGCGAATAATTTCAGCCCGTCACCTTCAGTGTTCACTTTTACGAGGTGCCGCATGCCTTTCCTGCTGTACAAAACAGTGTGCCGAAAGCTTTTACTGCCGATCCTGTGTGGCCTGAAAAGCGACATTGCTTGAAATAATTGAAGTGGACGCTGCTCCTGTGAATCCGATGATTTCGATCCTGCCCCTCATTGCCTTACAATTGGTCCGTGTGTCCATCGGTTATACGGATTCGGGGTGGAGGCCGAATGGCGTGAAAAGTGGCAATTCATCTACGGACAAGGCTATACATTATTTCACGGGACATCTACCGTGTTTCACTGATATTTTAAATCGGCTAACCCCGACCGAAAGGAAAGCAAATAATTTATCTCCAGCCCTTATTAAGACTTTGGACGGTCGACAGAGCTTCGTACTTTGTACTCGTGATGCGCAGCGAAGAGATGCGGACATAGTAAAATAAGACTAAGGTCGAAAGAAAACGGGATATAGGAGACTAGGCCCCAATAGCATCTCAATGGGAAATATGGCCATGCACCTGGCAAAGATACCAGTCTGCTTTCACCTCCACGTCAAGTTGCAAGAGACCCCTTTCTGATCGCTTCGGTAGCTCGACTGGAAAGGTGAAACTCGTGGATTCCTAAAGTGCAGCAGTTGGAAAGGCCTCGAAATAGACAAAACTGTACGAGACTCTCCAGAGTATGGAAGCCCCTGAATTCATACTCTTGTGTTAAACGATGAGCCGCGACCAGTCCTCATATATCTCGTCTACCTGTTGTTCACTGATTTGCTAGAGCAAGGCTGATCAGGGAAGACGATGAAGTGCATGTTTGACTCTGAGCTCCATACGTCGCCAGAGGTAAAACCGCACGAGGAAGTTCAGGGCTCGTGCCAAAAGCGTTGTTGCTTCTCCGCCCTGGAACTGGCCATAAATATCTCTGCTCCGCATGCCGCGGCAGAAGTCAATGTCCAGACATCTCATTCGATCAAATCCCAAGCTCCCAATATCCCATCAGATACCAGAGTGAAGAGAGACGAACGGTCTATGATCAGGTAGCATCGCCCGACACTTCTTAGATTTCTTCCCTCGTAGTTTCGGTGAGACACGATGAATACAAAGAATTTTGCTGGGTTCGCAAGGGCTCATGGTCGTATTTCAACAGGAGGCGATCAAAATGCGATTTTCGTGGCGACTACTTGAATTAGACCACTGTCCAAACTGGAAGTTTACTTCACAGCACATCTGTCAAGTTCATTGTGAGTAGTTCCTTGTTTGACAACTAAAACATGTTGTCCGAAGAAGAACTTTGTACTTTTTCGTGAACGTGAGCAATTCTGTCCACCTGTCTCTGCGATACCATATCACTGATATGGTATCATTGTTTTTATTTGTGGTGTTTTTTTTAATTCTCTTGGCGAAATTGGAGATTTGGTAAAAAAAAATTGTCGGGCATCCACGTATAAGATCTTGCTAAAAACCGAGACCAACTAGCTATCATTGCTTCAAAACTCTGCACTCAACCAAGTTCTCCCCGAGACCGCGGAAACTTTCTGTCCTTCACACAATCGCTCCTACGCACCGAAAACGTTGCTTTTCATCTCTTGAAGCAACGTGCCATAGATAAATTTTACTCGTGTCTTCTGACTTTATATTCTTGGGTTTTGTTAAACCAACAATTAATAAACTTTTCATAACTGGTAGAAGAGATTTAGAAGTACTGTACATTGAAGTAAACTCTTTTCAGGAAATTATATTATAAATAATTCTTTCATCAATATCGATTTATTCCGTTTTCTTTAAATTAATTTGAATGATTTTTTATGGAATTTGACATTTTTTTATGAAAATTTTAGATATATATTTCATCATTGTTAAATTATATCAATCATTTAAACTAAGATTTTAACTCGGATCTTCCAGTAACTCAAGTTAGTCGGATTATGGCCTAGACAAATCCTTATACTGTAAGAAAACTCGGTTTATACTTAGCAATAAAAAAATTTTGAAAATTTATACAGTAATGTTCAATTAAATCTATGGTTCAATAGTGCATTTGAAAAACTAGTCATATGAATACAAGATATAAATAATTTTAACATAATAGTGAAATGTATGGATCAATCATAAAATTCATTTTTCATAATTTTCATCTTTCAAAAATATCAGATGTCGTTTGTAATACAAACAGATTAGAGTGATGAAATTATAAATTAGAAATATTAATTTTATTTTAATATGAAATTATTTATATTTATATTTATATATACATGCATGAAGTGATCAAAAAAATATTATGTAAGCATAAAGTTTAACATAGATGGGTTTTAAGAGAAAGTTTATAAACAGTACATATAATTATTATTGCCATGAATTTAAAATTAACCAAAAATGATTAATATAAATATATACAAAAATTTCACCAAATTTTTAAGACAAGTCATATGTAATATACATTACACAATTATAAAAATTCTATATAAATTATTTCAATAGATTATATCATAAATGAATGTTAATGATAGAAATAATAAAATAATAATATTATTGAATATGAAAAATTATCTAAAAACATTTCATTTAAAATAATCAAGTATATGTAACATTTCAAGAAAAAAAAGCTTCAAATACTGTTTGAAATTCATTGTGTGAATCCAGATGTGTTAATAAATTGATTAAAATAACTCAAATCTAAAAAATTATCATTATAATAAAGTGAGTAGGATTGATTTATATTTCATCATAATTTATTTTAAGAAAATCTGATTGAATGATCAATCTATCATCAAAATATCAAATATCATGTCATATAGCAAAATGTTAAGCAATATCATGTTTTAAATCAATTGTGTAATTATGTAATCCTTGTTACATGTTACACCGAGAATGACAGCGATAAAAGTGTAAAATCAGAGAATGATAACAATAAAAGTGAAAAATCAGAAATCAGTAAAATGCAAGAATTACACGCGAAGACATAGATGCAACGAGTATGTGGTTCATCCGAGTATGGGCTACGTCCATGGAGAGAAAAACATCAACTTTGTATAATAATGAAGTTCTCCATACCAAAAGCCAAAAGCCAATGGATTTATATTGTGGCAGCTAACCTGGCCATTAACTAGAGTTAGGTAACCAAAGATTAACACAAAATCCAAGTTACACCCTAACAATCTCTCCCTTAACTCATGTTGAGTAAATAGTTACCTCCACAACTTTTTTAATCACTCAGCAGGAAAATCTAGAAGAAAACGTAGCAAAATGCCCCTCTTTATAACTAGATTTAACTATAGAGGAATTTCTTGAGAAGTTACAACAATTTGACCAAAGCAAAAAATCACAAATAGTAGTGCAACAGGGAGGTATACTCAGAGACTTGCAAGTACGTGGTTCAGCCAAGTAGTTACAACCACGGGAAGGCAAACACACAAATGTACAATGCGCATGCCGGGTTAAATAGTGAAGCTGGGGAATTAAATATCCAAGTTTTAGACGGTGGGCTAACTAATAATAGAGTTTAATCCAAAAGATGAATTAATACTAACAATCTCCTCCTTAATCAATGTTAAGGTACAAGTAATCTATATAACCTATATAATTCAACCTCAAGCTTCTATAAGTTGAGAATTGTCTTATCATTGTTGCTCATTTGTTTTTCATTTGTCATTGTTTGCTAAACTATGACAATCAATTGGTTTTAGATCAACACATTGCACTTGCTCAAAAGATGCAAACAACTTAAATACATGACTAAATATTGCAGTCAGTGTACATACCAGACGAAACATACTTCGTTACAAGAGAGAAATTTTTGTTGTAGTGCACACCTTTCTTCTTTGTGAAAACTCTAGTCATCAATCTGGCATTGAAGATTCTTGCTTTCTCACTTGTTGGACTATACTTTAGTTTGTACACCCATTTGCAATCAATCAACGCATGTACCTAGAAAAGTCAACTAGCTTCTAAGTCTTGTTATCAATAAGCAACTACATCTCACGCTCTATAACAACATTCCACTCAAGCTCATTGGCAGAAGCTTGAGCTTACATTACAAAGAAGATTCACTCTTTACTTCTTTTAAGATCAACGCAATACCATCATCATACTCTGTATCAACGTCACGATCTTTAAAAATGAAAGAATAAGCTCATAAATCATACCTGACCATGACTCTACTAGCCCAATTTGATGATCTCCTCAAAAAATATTCTTGTT